TCATCCGCATACCCTACTGTGTAGAGATTGATAGCGTTTAGTTCTGTGATGAGCTCATTTACCACTAGATTCCACAAAAGTGGTGAAAGGACACCGCCCTGTGGGCAACCCCTGCTGACAACACCACGCGTGGTGGTGTTCACGGTGAACTGTATGGCTCGATGTTTCAGCATGTTATTTATCCACTCTGTAAGGGTCGATGGTACTCCACAAGTGACAAGTGCATTGGTAATGCTCGTGAAGTTCGTTTTGTCAAATGCACCTTCAATGTCAATGAATGCGCCGAGGGTTGACTGCTTTATTTTCAGTGAGTTGCCAATGCGGGATACTACGTTATGGAGTGATGATTCTGTTGATTTGCCTGAGCTGTAGGCATGCTGATTAGGATGGAGGAATTTAGCCAATGTTACCCGACTGCGTATCTCCAGGTCTCCCAGTCTCTCCAGTGTTTTGAGGAGAAATGATGTGAGACTGATGGGTCTGAAGGACTTTGCTTGGGTATAGTCCTCTCTTCCTGGTTTAGGTATAAAAATGATTTTTACTTCTCTCCATTTCAGAGGTATATAGCGGTGAGCTATGCAGGCTCGGAATAATGGCACCAGATAGTCCACTATAAGGCTCCCACCCTATCTTAGTAGGCCTGGGAATATCCCGTCCAAGCCCGCAGCTTTGAATGGAAGAAAAGAGTTGATCGCCCATGTTACCTTTTCTCTTGTGACTATTTTGTCAGCTACCTGCCAGTCGGAGTTGACGGTTGCTCTTTCCGCGTATTTCTGCCATGTCTGCTCATTGGCAATTGTACAGCCAGGAAAGTGAGTCGCCAGCAGTAGCTCACATGTTTCTTCGTCAGTTTTTGTATATGTGTTGTCAGGTTTTTTTAGGCAGCCGACCGAGTGATAGGTTTCCCTAGAGAGGCATGATTTCACTCTGTTTGCCTGGTTGTTGTTTTCAATACTAGTGCAGAAGTGTCTCCAGCACTCTTGCTTTCTAGTACGAAGAAGTTTCTTGAACCGCCGTCTAGCGACTGTATACTTGTCCCAATCCCTAGGCATCATTGTGTTGCCCGCTCTATTGAACAGTTTTCTGACCTTCCGGCGGTGTCTCTCCAGTTCGGGGCACCACCAGTTCTGTTTGCCCCCCATCTTGGCATGGTGAGGGGGCATGACTGCTCATAGCTTGTCAGAAGTAGGGACGTTAGGTTATTTGCATGTTTGTCTATGTCTTGTGCATCAATTATTGTTGGTAATGTTAGTTTTGCTATCTCGGAGCTGACTAGTTTGTGAAATTTTCCTGAATCAGTTCTCCGAGGTATTCTTCTAGGTTGTGGTTTAGGTAGGTCCCCTTTGATTGCAAAGCGGATCCACCTGTGATCCGAGCATGATAATTCACCAGACACATGCCAGTCATGTATCTGGTCTGACAGGCCTGGCGTTATCAGTGTTAAATCAATTATGGTTTTTGAACGTGCGTTGATAAATGTTGGTTCTGAGCCGCTGTTTGCTAGGATAAGATTATTACTAAGTATGAAATTAAGCATATTCTCACCTCGAGCGTTGGTATTAGCATTACCCCATAGCTTGTGATGTGCATTGGAGTCTGCTGCTATGATGAGCTCCAGTTGCTCCCTCTCGCAGTAGTCGGTTAGAAGACCGAGTTCCGGAGTGGGCACGTCCTCGTCGCCAGGTAGGTAGGCTGACGCCAGGACAATGTCTGGAAGCTCGTTCCTGGGTAACCTAACAACTGTGAGGTCCCTTGAACATAGTTCGTTTATTAGTAATGCTGGTACATGTTTGGGTATTAGTATGCAGGTTCTTGGGTTACTTACGCGGGTGTCCAGTAAGGTTTTACCACCGGTGTTACCCAGGCCGCATATCTTGCCATTCCGGATCCACGGCTCCTGGATCGCGGCGATGGTCTTGGGGTTGGTCTCCAGCAGTCTGCGCAGGCAAGCCGACGCTGTTTGACTATGCTGGAGGTTGGCTTGAATAAGGTCAGTTCGGCGAAGGGGAGGAGCGCAGACAGCTGTCGCTGAGTTCACTCCCCCCGGTCTCCTGAAATAACTCCTCATCCGATGTTAGTTGTGCCGTCTCCATGGGAACGTGAGTCTTGGTCACTCGGCCATCCGCAGCCTTCTCCGTCAGTGACGTGGAAGGCGTTGGCCTCGGTGTCACCGTCCCCGATGTGCTGGCAATGGCTTGAGGCGGGGCGTCAGCCACCTGCGAGGGTTCATCCCTATCCAGGATGCGGATATAAATGTTCCCCAGCAGATAGTAAACACGCCTGTCTTGTTTCTTGATCGTTACGATCTCGGACTCTGGCACACGGAAGAAGAGAGAGACGCCTGTCGGGTCCTTCGTTCTCCGCTCGTGCGTCAGGGTCCACGATCTGATGTTGTAGTGGCGGTTCTGCCTCAAAATCAGTCTCATCAGGTTCTCCGTGCTGTCAGAATAATCTGGGACGTGTAGTAAGCATGGAACCTTTCTAGGGATTGCTGACTGAGGCCTAACTACCAGCCTGGTGTCTGGTATAGGGTTGGTGATGGCATCGCAGGTACTGGTCAGCCACCTCAACGCGTAGGCGTCCTCGCACCACATTTTCAGGACGCCATCTGCGAAGTGGGCTTTGCCCCGGAACCTGATGTCGTTGGTTTCTTCTGTTAGAGGAGCTGCAAAATCCGCCATTAGCTCGTCATGCAGCTTACCCTGGATTTGTAGGCGGATGGCTTCCGCCTGTTCTTGGGTCATGTCAAGGAAGGGCTCGGTCATTACAGCAACACAGAACTCATTAGTTTTGTATGCTGCCGCCGCTTCCGCGTAGCTGGCCGAGGTCCCTCCCACCGTTCGAGGTCGGTTAGGTTTTACCCTTTTCCTTTCCCCAGTCGGTGTAACTGAGTCCTCAGGCCGTACACGTTTCTGGCCCTTCTCTCGTTCATTGGTTTTCGGTTTCTTGCTATTTGCGGGTCTCGTGCTGCACTTGGAGCCGTCAGGCCTTAGCGCGGCATTCGACGCCGTCGGCTTCGGTTCCCATCTCCTGCCACCTGTTGCTCTGCTAGCTCCAGGGGCTGGTTTTGGGTTAACAGGTGGTCCTTGAGCAGCAGCTAACAGCTCCTGCCGTTCTGCCGCCCTTCTGACCCTGTTGAGCCGTCGCCTCTTTGATGAGCTCAAAACCATAGTCATGGTCGGTTCCTGTATTGCGGTTTTCAGGGCCGTCATGTCCATGGCTGAGGACGCTGCACCGGGTACATTCACCGTCTCTGACACGGTATTCCGCATCGGTCTAACCGTGGATGCCACACCTTCAGACGCATACAATACTGTTGCATCATCCAGAGTGGCCTCCTTTGGCTCAACCGACGCAGTTAACCTAGCCGCGACGGAGGACGCTTCCCTGTGCAGTGGTTTTGTCGTTTCTGTTGGATTGGGTACGGTCCTGGGTGCAGCCCGGTTTGGCTTGTCCCCAGTCGATTCCCTTTCCTTCGATTCACTGGACGCTGCCGGGATTGGCGCATCCCTGTGAGAAACAGGGGCATCAAAGTGTCGTGTCACTGGCGCCTTGCACCGTGACCCGTCCTGAGACGCAACCCTGTGTTGTTTGTTATGCTTAATTGTTTTTGAAGCCTCTTTGTCCATGAGGTGTTAGGTAGTAAATTCACCGTCAGAGCTCTCCACCCGCCACGGAGTCCTCAGTCGGGGGCGTCACTTGCTCAGCAAGCAAACGCCAGAGCTACTCCTCCGGTATAGAGCCAGAGCGTAGGAAGGCAGACGCGTCCGCACGCTGCCAGGAAGTACGGAGCTGTTCGCATCACGAGACGATGACGCAAACTCACCCCGAGTCCCGAGCCTCGCCGACGGCCCCCCCACACCCCGACTCTCGCTTGGTAGCCCGCTTATGGGATACCGCAGCCGGTTGACCACAGGTAGCTAGTCCATGGCCTCCCGTGTGAGGGGAAATCCAGACCAAAGAGGCGTGTTGTGTGCAGCGCACAACTGTTCCCGGCGCACTCACACTCAACCCCCAGGACTCCTTCATCTCCCCCGTACGGGTCCCCGCGCACGGCACAAACACGCGGGAGGTCATTTACTGTCCACCATCCTATCTTTTTGGATGATGAACTTGCAAGGACATGACCTCTCCATCCCTGCAATTAATCGCTTGGTGGTTTCAGTTGCGTCTATTACATAGGGTAATAGACCAAAAACGGGGTCGGCAACCTCGAGAAGGATAGTCCACCAAACTTGCCTTGGGGATCTCAGTGACCTGCACTCCTCCCAAGACCACGCCACCCTACCCATCAGAGGGATGTGGTAGGGTAGGTCTGCACCTGTGCTACCATGCGATGCAAACATGTCGTACTGGGAACCGTAAAAGCACAGACCAGACCTTCCCCTGTGAATTTGCCAAGAAACAAAAAAGTTTAGGAGTTCTCACAATTACTATTACATAATTCAAAAATATATACAATTTCAAAACCATTTGATCCTACATAAAATATTAAAAAAAATATCGAAAAATTATAGTTTATACAATTTACATCAAATTATTATTTTCACACAAATGTTCAAAAATCCAATGATCTTACGACTTTGATAATTTTCGGTCCTATAAAACTATTATGATTACTCCTACCAGGATTTATGATGAGTTTTCTACCAGTTTTACAAGGAATTCATAATATAATCTCTTTTAATAACTCCTGCAGTTCTCCTGACTTCACGTGAATAGTTTCCATTATTTTCTACGTTTTCTTGATTATGTTCAGGGATAGTGATTACATTTAACTCATCTCCTTGTAAAATGCAGATATTGTGGACGACACAGCATGCAATGATGTACTCTGCCATTAAATCGACTCTTGTCATTGGTAGACAATGTAATAAGCTCCTCATGCGTCCTTTTAATAATCCAATACATCGTTCAACAGTCACTCGTGCAGCTGAATGACGATAATTATAGTTTCTTTGTTTTTCAGTTAAATGTCCATTATCTCGATATGGAGTAAGTTAGTGTTGATGTATTTCATACGCAGCATCGCCTAGAATATGGAAATTTTCTAAGAATTTATCATCATAATTTACGTAATCTGCAACTTCTGATAAAGGGAAAACTCTCTGATCATGAACAGACCCAGGATGTCCAGCATAACAATGAGTTATCAGAGTCTTGTGATCACATACGATCTGTAGAATATGTTATCTATATGTAAATCAATTTTCAATACTAAAGTTAGTAGTGTGCTTTAAAATAACAGTCGCTAAATACCTGTAACTGAATAGAATGAAATCCTTTCCGATTAATATAATCTGCATGATTTTGTTTTGGACCATTAATACGAATATGAGTACCATCAATCGCCCCTATTACTTTTGGAAAGCCACTCGCTCTTTCAAATCCATGCATCACTTCTTATTCTTCTATAGCACGATCCCCCGTAGGCCATTGTATAAATCTTGAGGATTTTATAATAGTCCATTGAAAAGTTACATTTGGGGTTGCGTTTTCTTGTTTTGTTATTGTCATCCACACGAGGCACCCGCATAAAACTGTACAAACGTTCGTACACACCAATGCGCCGCATCGAAATGTCAAACCACCACGCGCTTGTCGCGTCTACACGGACGGATTGGACGGCAGATCGGAATGGCGCGGGCTGTGTCCTACGGTTCGAACTGTACGTGTGAAGGCCGTTATTGACTTAATGAAAAAATGATGCGAATAAAAGTTGTTCCTCAAAAATCGATCTACAAAAATGGTCAGATATTATTTTTTCGTAAAATGATAAAAAAAAAGTTACATCGAAAAATATAAATTTTGTTCTCGAATTTCTGAAGATTTTTTATTTATAGTTCTACGACAAAAAGTTACTGGACCAAAGTTGTAGAGAATTTAATTTGCAACAAAAAAATGTCAACAAATTTTTTTTTATCAAATAAATAGTTTAAGAGATATATCGTAATTATACCATTTCAACCCCTATTTCCAAGATGGCGGCCGTGGGACAAGGGTGGCGATCCCACAAACTTGTTTTTAGCTTTACACTGACCCCCTCTACACATCAAAAAAATAAAATTGCGTCCTCTAAAAAACTCAAGGTAAGGCCAAAAAAATGTAACATTTCAATGAACTATAAATAAAGCGTGGCAAACTCGACGTACAGCTCTCACAGCAGTGGCTCGTCCTACGTTGAATCTGTCACAAACTGATCTATAATGAAGATAAAAAAAAAATTAGTTGTATTTCATACTTCTCAATTATAGTATAAATACATCCAAAATAGTTTATTTTTTTATAAAAGTGACGTATATGAATCCATTGTTGCCATTTTCCAAAGGGCTATCATCAATTGATGATGAGATGGAATTGTAGGGCACCCAGGGACATGTCGAACTAAATTTTCTTCTATTATATCATGTAAATGATTGAATGTGTTCCTTGAAATTCTAAAAAAAATAAATTTAAAATTACATTAGACTCCTTGTATGTTCAATCTCTAAATTTTCTTGTCATTCATAATTTATTTTTAGTTTCTTAACTTATTTCTTCATTCAATCTTATTCCATTAATGAAATAATTACTTAGACATAATGAAGTAAATTAAGGAGTAAAATAACTTTAGAGTATAATCTACGCCTGAATTTAAACAATATTTTAGAATGTACAGTCTAATGAGATAGAAAATTATGTACCTGAAATGAATTCTTCATCCGAATAGCGAAAAATTACATTTTCATAGTCAATAATACGTGGCCTAAGTTGTCGGTTTTAACGATTATAATTTTTTATAATTGCATCCCATTCTTCATCTGAGCTAGATGAGTAGTTTCTGGAGCTTTATTGCGATGTATCAGCAAATATCCAACTGCCGTCAAAGCCATTTCGATTAATTATTTAAACTTAAGTTTGAGAGATTTCGACGTTCCTGTTGTTAAACAGATGTTATATGTCTTTCCTTGACCTTTAGTTTTATTGGGGTTATTGGGTCTCTTCTTTGATCAACAAGCTTCTGTGGAATGCCCTTTCTTATTACAATTCTTGCAAAATTTTACCTTTTTCTTCGTCTTTGTGTAGAATGCTTCTGAAGTCTGAGGTTCACTCGCTTCGGTTTGCCTTCTTGCTTCGTATTCTTCTACGATTTTTATTTTCAAATTGCCAGGACTTGGCAGAACATCTCTCGTTTCGATTGTCGTTCGGAAGCTATCGAAATTTGTAGCTAAACTGTATAACATCAATATGCTTAATAACCCTGGATGCATTTTGACATCCATGTCTTCTAATTTACCTACTACATCCATAAAATTACTAAGATGGTCTCTCATATCTTCTTGTGCAGTAATTTTCTTCAATTCTAGTTGTTTTAATAGCGTTGCCTTTCTTGCCAGCCCTGATTTTTGATGTACAGACTTTAGTTTGTCCCATCCCTCCTTGGATGTATTACACCCTTTAATATAAGTAAAAATTGCTCTGACCTTGCCTTTAAGTCTTCCTTTAGGAACACACTCTTTTCTTCGGCAGTCGAAGCAGGGCCGCGCTGACCCCCAAAGCGCCTGTGTGCGAAACCTATGAAGCGCCTCTTTTTTTCGCGAATCTTCATGTTTCAACTTATGTTTTTATTATTTGATAATTTTGACCGAAATAAATGTTCTCCAGTTTATATACTTAGATAATATTTTCCTAAATAGGTAAAACCAGTTCGCTTACGCTTGCCAATTACTGCGAAAAATAAAACACAAATTTAATTTTTACATATTTTATTTATGATGTTATATCTAATTGTATTCTTAGATAATATTAATAACAAAATATCTGATTTTCTAATAATACAGATTTAACTATTACGTATGCTATGTTTGAAAAAAATAACAAGAGTCAGAGAGTAAAATATGTAAGAACTAAGAATATAAACATATTTAAATATATATTATTTCCACACTTCTCGCTTTTCTGTTTGCGAAATCTTTAATAGTCTCGTGTATGTCTATATGGCCTAATATGGCCTACTCTATGGATATTGTCAGTATAAATATAGTGGAAATACCACTACTTTAGTGAACCACTTAAAAAAGAAACATGTAATTCAATACAGTGAAACTGTTGACGCATATTTACCCAGAGACGAATGTGAAAGTAGTGAGTGTGAGGTTTCGAGAATTGACTTGCCAATTCCAAGTGTGTCCGGTGTTTGTGTGTCGGAGAATCGGAGAATCGGAAGGAGAATAATACCGTTGGCGGTTCAGCTCCTAAGCCTTCTCAGCCTCCTCCAAAGCGCTTCTCAGCCTGCTCCTTATAAAATAAACCAAAAAGTTGGTGATGAAGCCTTACTAGACCTAATAACAATAGATATCCAACCCCTACAAATTGTTAAAAATGAGGGATTTATAAAATATTCAAAAAAATTAAATCCTGATTATGTATTGCCATCTAGAAAAAAAATAATTCAAATTCTGGAAGAAAAATATGACATATGCAGTTCTGAAATAAAACAAAAATTACAAGATGTAGAATATATTGCCCTAAAAACGGATATTTGTAGTTCAGACCGTCAAAAAAGTTATATTAGTGTTACTGCTCATTTCATTAAAAGTTCAAAATTACATTCGCTTGTATATATCAACATCTGAACTTGCAGAACAGCATACCTGATTAAATATAGCAAACGCTTTGCGAGCTATTTTAACAGAATGGAATATTTTTGACAAAATAATAGTTACAATTATGACCGACAATGCCTAGAGCATGAAAAAGGCTGTAAAAGATTTTTTAAAAAGAAAGAAATCATTTCTGTTTTGCTCTCACTATAAATTTTGCCGTCAAAGACTGAATTCAAACAGAAAATGACGCATTCTCACTTTCAAAAATGGCGCAGCGTTAGAGGTCATTACAAAAAGTCGCGCCATTGTCACTCATTTTAAGCAAAGCATAAAATCGTCTAATGCACTGAGAGAAATGCAAAGCCAAATGAATATAAATGTAATAAAACTAAAACAAGACGTACAGACGAAGTGGAATTCAAGTTTTTATATGTTGCAGAGATTGTTGAGAACGTTAACATACTAGAAAACTGTGTTGGTCTTTTACAGCCCATGGAAAAAGTAACGTCCGGGCATTCTGGCGAATCGTATCCGACGCTATCGTGTACTATACCAATAGTCAGAGGTCTACAAAATTCGCTTCACAATAAGTCTCCAAAAACCGAAGCTGGAAGGCATGTTCAGCGGTCGCTGCTGGAAGTCATTGATAAAAGATTAAGTGTTTATGATTCCAACAGAACAGCAGCAAAGGCCACCTTACTGGATCCACGTTTAAAAAAAAAAGGTTTTGGTGTAGAGAGCAATGCTGAAAATGCGGTTAAATTTGTCCTTGAGGAATTTGCTCAATACCTGGTTCAACACCCACCAGTTGGGGAAGATAATCTGTTGCAGACTGTATCTACGGCGCAAACTCTTACAGATGGCCATGATGATGAAATCTGGGAGTTTTTTGACAGAAAACTCATTGAAACAGTCACACAGCAAACACCAACATTACCCGCTTCAATAGTTTTAAAACAATATTTAGCTTTTGCCCTTCCTAGATAGCAAACAAAATCCGCTACAATTTTGGGAACAGCGTAAACATATTTTTTCTATACTTCATCCTTCAACTATTTGAGCATACCGGCTTCCTCTGTCCCATCAGAGCAAACAGGCTTAAGCCAAAAAAATTACACCAAATATTGTTCTTGAACTCTTACAGTAGCGAGAAAGGGAAGTCTTGAATATCTAAATCTCAAGAATCTTGTAAGGCGAAACCAACACTTAAATTTACTGCCATTCGAACATCTAGAAATGAAGACTACATATTATACAATAAAATATATTTTATCGCGGTCCTACTTCCTGATCGTGTACGCTTTGCCTAAATTAAATGTATTCATTATTTCATCTTTTTTGTTCCTAATATCAGAAATTAGTATTGCATATTTGCATACTTGCATATTTTACACCAATTGTTTAGTGCGCTAAATGACTGCGTGAGCGACAGCTTGATTCATAAGTGTTGGTTTTGATTAGACCGTGTATTTATGCGTTATCATGTCGCAAAAAAAGAGAAAAGTGTTTTCTATTGACGAAAAATCTCATGTCACATGGAGATTAGAAAATAGATGTGATAGATTGGAATGCAATATCTAATGTGGCCTTGTCAGCGAGATGTGTAAATTGGCGATTTGAGATAATGATCAATTGTTCCCTCTCTCGGATCATGTATGTTTTTGGCTACACCTGCTATAAATGCTTTGACCTTCTTAGGGAGTTCTCCCTTAGAGGATTTGATCATAAAGATCCAATCTACTGGGTCCTTAGATCTCAAAGCGTCTTCCAGCTCGTCCTGATTGTTGACTTCCTCATCTTGATCTTCTTCAAGCGGCTCTCCTTCTGCGGTATACACTTTGCCGAATGATACCACATTGGCATATACATATGCTAAACAAGCACTGTTGGCAAATATGTCTCCCGCTCGGGCATCTGTAAGGTGTCTAGCATTACAAGATCTTTTAGAGCGCATCATTGCCCCGACTAGATGAACCCACTCGAAGAAATGTGGGTTCGCAGACGCAGAATATGCTGACTTCATCACAAGCCCTAAATCAACATGATATGGGAAATATGAGAAGTCATCTAGTAGCTCGTCTTGACTAGTCATCATTCGGTCAATGTCTGTGCCCACTTGTTCTATAAAGACCCAGGCCAAAGCAAAGCGAATGCAAAGCGACAACAGCTGAGCATTGATCCTTGAGACCAGGGATGCCTTATAGTCTGCGGCAGTAGTCCTTATCAGCCGGTATATTCCCAATACTGCTCCGGCCATCCAGGAGTTATGTTCAGGATTGACTTTGTCAACTCCAGGGAAGTCTCGCTTTACAAGCCTTCGGATCGATAAGTGATATCGGTGAAATTTCTTCGCCAGATCTTCCAATCAACACCGGATATGATTCCCAATCATCATTTAGGGAGTCTGTTATAGTAGAACCATACAGGTAAAAGAATGTACATGCAATTCTTATATCTATTTTATTGTCTAAGATCGCTTTTTTAATCATTCCTCTTGCTAGCTTGATATCATCTGTTACTAATTCTATCGGGACCGGCGGTTTGGATCCTGGATTTGATTCGAACCAGGCATGAGGATACTAGACGTCTATAGTAGATTTTGGTGCTTTAGGCACGACAACTTTTTTAGTGGAAACTCTTACAAGGCTCATGATTGCAAACTTAGATTAAATCTGTTGAAAATGGCGAGTCGAATAGGGAAATTGCAAAGGAATGTGGAGTTTCGCACTCTACGATATTAACGATTTGGAAAAATAGAGATAAAATAAAAGTTATTTTAAAACAACTCTTTAAAACTTAAACGAGCGAGGAAAAGTGAACATAAAGTTATAGAAGATGCTTTATTAACATGGTTTAAACATCAGAGGGCAACAACGTCACAATAAGTGGCCCGATTCTGCAACAAAAAGCCAATGACTTTGCTCGTCTTATGGGTAAGGAAAATTTTAAGTGATCGTCGTCGTGGGTACGACGTTTTCGTGCTCGTCAAAATTTTGTGGCAGGAAAAGTTTGCGATGAAGCGGCTGGCGTTCCTGAAGGAGTTTCTGAAGAGTGGCTCTCTCATAAGTGGCCTGCACTGTGCGAAGGATACACACCAGAGGAAATCTTTAACGCTGATGAAACAGGTTTGTTTTACAATTTAACCCCTGACAAAACTTAAATTCAAAGGCGGGGAATGCAAGGGCGGAAAGTTGCCTAAAACAAAAATTACAGTATTGGTTGTGGCAAACATGACTGGTTCATGTAAAGAAAACTTTTGGTGATAGGAAAAACTAAAAAACCGCGTTGCTTTAAGAACATTCAATCTTTGCCTGTAACTTACGAAAACATCAGTAGGTCCTGGATGACATCGCAAATTTTTGAAAAATGGCTGCGTAGTTGGGATGCAGAATTGAAGTCTGGAGGAAACAAAATTATTTTTCCAGTAGACAACTGTCTCCTAATCTGAAATGCATAAAGCTTGTGTTTTTACCGCCCAATGTCACCTCTGTTTTACAGCCAATGGACCAAGGAGTGATAAACGCTTTAAAAACAAAATACAACAAAACTTCTAGTGTTCTAAATGATACAGAATATTGAAAACAGCAAAGATACTATCTTAGTATTTTGGATGCAATCCTAATGATATCGGAAGCTTGGGAAAAGGTCACACAGACCACTATAGCCAACTGCTTTCGCCATGCAGGTTTCAAAGATCTCTCTCCATCACAAGCGGAGGATGACGATGATATTCCCCGCTAGCGAGAATGATACAATCTACAGATGAAGATGACAACGTACCACTTGCTGAATTGGTTGCTCAGTTGCATGATCTACTGCTACACGACAAAGAATTGAGATAGAGGAATTTATTGGAATAGATGACAAAGTTGCTGTGTGCGCCAGACGACCAGCTTCGGCATAACGCTTACGGGTCCCGGAGTCCTGGGGCCCCGTAAAATGCCCCCAACAGCCCGCATCACCTCCCCCATGAGGCTCTCCCTCACTCCATCAAGGAACCCCTCTATCAATTGCCGAAGGGCTTCCGGAGTCAAACTCGGGGTGCACCGTACGGCGATCTTCTACCCCTCTTTCAGACATCGCGTTCAGTTCCACCATCTCCTTTCTGAAGGCCCCAAGCTCCTGTCCCAAGTCTGAGACCTGGGCCTTCAGACGGGTATTATCCCTCTAAAGGCGCCTTCCCTCTTCCCTTCCCAGGCCAGGCCACACTGGCAATGGCCCCATAATCAGAGAGATTCCCCGCATTCACTCCAAGCCTCTCTACACGGCGACAGCGGGCGTTCAGACGCCACAACTCTCCCTCCGCCTCCTCCAATGCTACCATATGGCAGGTGGAGAAGAATTTCCCTTGCCGTTGCCGACCGGGTTCTTTGTGTACGCCCGTTTCCTGTCACCGGAACAAGTCACAGTGATTTCATCGTTGTCACTGTCCGAGGACGACCTCTTCCTCAATATTATAATACACCACACAAATACAATCTTAAGTCTAATTATCAAAAAATTAAAACTAAAATTTAGTGTCCCAATCCGCTTCGGTGTGAGAGACGTGTAACCTCCAGATTTCCACCAAGCTTGTCAACAACAAGATGGAGGACCAACGCGTCACGGAAAAAACCCAACCTTGGCACCAAACTAGTGAACAAGATGGCGGGCCGACAATTCACCTTTAATTATTTATAACTTTCCTACTTTTAAAAATTTGTTTGTTACTTAATCAGTGAGCCGATTATTAAAATAAACAAACTCACGGTTACGTGGCAGTCCCATACACAATATAGTAACTTAAATCTTATATGTCATCGCCGCAAATAAGTTAATACACTCACAAACACCGGGTCAATTCCCCTCACTTGTATGCTTTGCGGTTAGTAACACGCAAAAAGCACACACACATAAAAATAATCGGCAATTGCTGCTGAATCTTTTAACACCACTTACAAATTTTACCATAGAATTTTTCCAACGCGGAGCGAACGAAAAACGCAGTTATCGCTACGACGGCTCGACGCGTACTCCAGGTTACAACAGGTTAGTTTAGGCCTTTATTTTGAGATGGTAGCGATCCGCGCGTGGATCTTCGTATGCGAGGTGATCGCGCCCTGACTCGCTGACTGTCTGTCCAGGTAGCCTAGTTGTTCTGGCTCCGGGTCCCAAATCAGCTGTTGGGCTATTGATCCGCCTCGGTTTGTTGGAAGTGGAACCGTCTTGTAGTTCCGGATCTCACGTATGCGGCGTAGAGCTAACTCAAATAGCTCGGGACTGTACGCATATCTTGGGATGGTGCGGCGCACGTGGGCCACATCGGCGGGGACGTCTTCAAATAAGTTCCTGAGCTCAGAGAGCTGGCTCTTGTCGAGCGTTCTTGCTGGCCTCCATCCTAACATGTTCACCGTCGGGCGATTCCTGGGTCGCAAGGGTCGTCGGACCGGGGCTGGCTCTTGAGCCGCCGCCAAGTCCTCGTCCTCCTGCTCGTCCACAGGAAGGTCGTCGTCAACGGGCGCTGCGATTTCAGGCAGCGCTTGGTCGGCAACGGCACCCTGAGGTGTGATCGCGATGATATCCCATACGGGGTCACGGTTGCGATCTGTTATAACTGAACTTGAATTAGGCTTTTTAAAAAAACAAATTTTGATTTCGGAGCAACCGTCTTGAATTAGGAGTAGGAAACAACTAACTGGGTTTGAGCGGGATGTTTATTATATAGGAAGCAAAGTGTTTACGTAGTTGGAAAGAGGGAATGAAGTCAGCTTTAAGGCTAACAGAATAAAGGTGTAACATCTCCTGGGGTAAGACTAAACTTCGGGGTCAAGATTCGAAGTTTAGGAAAAATATATTTTATAAGTGTCTTCTGATACTAGGTGCTGGGATTTGATTAATTTCAGGATTAGAGTGATGGGTTTTTATAGATTCCTGAGATGTGGAAGAGGTAACAGGGATACCTTGAGTAGTGGGGAGTTCAGCAGGATTTGATTGAGAGGATCTGAATGGGAAACGGTTGCATTTCTTTATTATAATAAAAATTCTAAAGATACAGTACAAAAATATAATTCCTAATACTACATAGAATATAATTGAATAATGAGTCTCGTATTTTAAAACTGAATGTTGATTAATGATTTCATCAGCGGTAGCTGATATTATTTTTGATTTTGATCTCAGCTCATTAGCGTAAGTATCTAGATTTATACTTAATAATCTCGAAGGAGCCTCATTATTTAATTTCTTAACTTATCTAAGTTACAACATGTATCGTTTATTATGTTAAAGTCCGATTGTATATGATAGGTTGTGGTATTAAGAGAATAGACCTTTAATTTGGGAATTAATTTTGTACTTTTACTATGTGCTTTACAATTATTAGGAACATTGACAATTCCAATGCCATGTAGGTTCTTTTCGATTACATTTTGATTTACGCATTCTATGAATAATTTATTAACATGTGATTGTATATAAAGCCAGTTGTTATTAGTAAGAGTTTTCCATATGTCAATTGTACCATGTACGAATTCTGATTTACATTGGTCTGGGAGTTTATTAATTAAGTTTAAAAGTATTTCTGTTTCACAACTCGGGTTTTCAGTAGTTGAAAAGGTATTCATAACATCACAAATATAGTTGTTAATATTGACAGGTTTACAATTATTAAGAGTATCTAAATGACAGTATTCTGACTTGTCTTTGGTCACTGCGATATATTTAAAACTGGGAACAATAAAACTAAAAGCGGTTGGATTTACATTGCTATAGGGCGTTGGTAATGCTATTGTTTCATATAAATTAAAACTATTTGTAGATATTAACGGAACTCTTAGAATAAACATAATTTTGTTATTAAAACTATAACATGTTACACCGGATACATTCATTAAAGGGTACATGTTGTTTAATTCTAATTCTACTGGGAACCTATAATCTACAGGTAAATGTTTATAATAGTCAACGAGTTCTAAGTACAATTGTTTCGGCGATAAGACGGCCGGATGAAGGATGTTTTGGTTACTAAGAATGATTGCGTATACAATGTCGGAGAGTTGAAATGACAATGTTAACATGGAAGCTTCTAAGCTGTTAAGTATAGAATTAATTTTAGATTTTACTAATATTTGATCGGAAATTACACTTAAATTTTTTATATGTACTGAAAATTCGTTGATAGCATTATTAAGATTGGCTTCATTAATTTTAATTTTATATAAGGTTTCATTAACTTTAAACATAGTGGAACTAGTAACTAATATGTTTTCTTTTATTAAGGAGGCCAACCTTTTTTCATTATTTTCACTGTTACGTATTGCGTTATCATATTTGATAGCATCGTCTTCATCTAAGGTGCCAAAAACAATTTTAGCAAGGGATCCGATGCCACCAAGCCAGGGTGATCTCTTACGTCTGTTACTGTCCGTTAAATGGGAAATGGATGAAAACTCATTTACTAGGTCGTTGTATCTGACTGTTAAGGGTTCTAATATGTTTTGACACTCTAAGTTGTCTATTGTTTCTAATTGGAGTTGTCGACAGATGTATTTAACAGTCACTAGAATTGAATTTATATTTCCTAAGTGCGGTTCTATGTGTGATATATCGAAAGGTGAAACAATATCTAAATAACCAGTGTTTATGTTTAGTTTCCCAATTGGATCAAAATACAGTCCAGGGCTATGAGTGATTGGGTGTATGAATTCTCCGTAGGCCAATACGCTGTAATGAAAATATTATCTTAATATATGTATTTTATATTGTTAAAGAAATAAGAATAATAAAATAAAATTAGTAATAGGTACTTAAGTTATTAATTAAAATTATAATAATATGTTATGTTAGTCATGTGAAACATTAGCGAGTTTCACTTCGTCAAAATGATGTGTGACGTGACGCCTATTAATAAGTAAAGTGAGATTATTTCTACCATTTATTTTTATTATTTTATAGGGGCCTTTCCATATAGGAGAAAGTGCTTTCCTGAGTCGTAAATGATTTTTTATATAGACGTAGTCGCCTACTTTGTATGTTATTGGTCTTGTATGAGAGTCATAGTATTGTTTTGATTTTTCCTTTGCTTTAACGATATTTTCGAGGGCTTTTTGTCTTGAATGTTTTAACCTATGCGTTAGCATTTTGAGATATTCAGGGTATGTGTTATCGGGTTCTGTATTATAAATTGAGTCAGGTATTAAAGGTTTCTGTCCGAACAAAAGTTCGTAAGGGGTGTAATTAGTTGTACAATGTACGGATGTGTTATAAGTCATTATAGCAGTATACACATATCTAGGCCAATTATCTTGGTCTTGGTTGACGAATGATTTTAGGTATTCTTTTAAAGTGGAATGGCTACGTTCTAGGGCGCCTTGTGTCTGTGGGTGATAGGGACTTGACCAAAGTTGTTTGATTTTCATGAAATCACACGTTTTCTTGAAAAGGTTTGATGTAAAATTAGTACCTTGATCGGTAAGAATACTTTTAGGTATACCGAAGAGAGTAATGAAATGTATTAAACAGTCGCTTGTTTCTTCGGCGGTTGTAGAACGGATTGGGTATGCAATGGAGAACTTTGTTAGGTCATCTTGTAGGGTTAATATAAATTTTACTTTTGCAGTTCCTGATTCAGGTAAGGGACCTACTATGTCCATTGCGATGCGTTGAAAAGGGATAGTGGAAGAAGTAGTAATTTGCATCGGTGCTCTATTTAGTTTTCTCAAGGCTTTATTTTCTTGACATGATTTACACGATCTTACATAGTTTTCTATGTCACTACGCATGCCTTTCCAGTGATATTTTTCCTGGATGCGTTTGACCATGCGAATAGTGCCTAAATGGCCTGCAATGGGTATGTCATGGTTTTCCTTTAGGATTTTCTTTATTTCGGAAAGTGATGGGAAAATGAGGCTATCTTTATGAATAGTGATGAAGATATTTGTATTATGAAATAGAATTAAAATTATATTATACAGTTTTGTGTATATATGTGATTCGAAAGGATCTTTAAAGTTTGTGATACTTATTTGTTGGAAAGATTTAGAAATAATTTCATCACGTAAAGTTTTTAAGCTAATATAAATATCTTCATATGACGAATTGTCGAAATGGTGAACTTTTGTAAATAGTAAATATATTATTTTATCGTGGAGTTTTAATGGGATGAATGAATAAAGGGTTCTTTCTTTATTTAGGAATTCCTCTTTATTGGGTAGTTCCGAAAGTAATTCTTCGACATAGGGATTGCTTTCGTCTAGGTCGATTGAGGTCGGGATGATAATAACTTTGTCGGAGCTTTTAAGTATAGACGTATTTGACTCTAGGATTTTAGCGTTAGACTCAAAAGTTTTAGATTTTGTTAATTTAGAAAATTGCGAATAGTTTCCATTAAATAGTTCTTGAATTAAGGGTTCAGTTCGGTCTGAATCCTGTGTGATAGGAGAATCGATGTTAGGAATTTCAGGGAATTCAGGAATGGTTGGGATATCTGTATCTGGTGGAGATTCCAGATTCAGGAATTCGTCTAAGACTCTTTGAGGGTCAATAGGGGAATCAGGTACGTTTTCGTTTTGGATTTCAGGGTGTGATGTGGTTTCCACAGGAATAGGTGATATGAAAGCGTCATCTGGATTAAATGATGGCGGAGTAACAAGGAGATCCATCAGACCTGAATCTAATGTGGCTTCTTGTGGATTTGGAATGCTAATAGGATTTTCTATTGGAAATATGGGATTTACAGGATACCGAGATAAGGCGTCGGCGGCGGAATTTAATTTTCCCTTTTTATATACGATCTCGTAGTCGTATTCCTCGAGCTTGAGGCGCCAACGTTGCAGCTTACTTGAAGGGTCTTTGTGGTTAAATAGCCACTTAAAGTGGTCTATGGTCTGTGACGATTTGGAATTTCTGTCCATATAAATATGGTCTGAATGTTTTACAGCCAAATATTATAGCTAATAACTCCTTTTCAGTTGTGCTATAATTAGATTCGCTTTTGTTAAGTGTACGGGATGCAAAGGCGATAGGCCTTTCCTGACCTGTTGGTCCCTGTGAGAGGACTACTCCGAGAGCATGATTGGATGCATCCGTTGTAAGAATAAAAGGTTTTGTGAAATCGGGATAGCTTAAGACTGGTGCTGAAGTGAGTTTTTCTTTAAGGAATTCGAAAGCTAGTTGTTGTTGATTTTCCCATGAAAAGATTTGATCTTTTTTGAGGAGAGAAGTAAGGGGTTTTGCAATGTTAGAAAAGTCTGGGATAAATCTTCGATAGTATGAAACAAGGCCGAGGAAAGATTTTATATCTTTAGGATTTTTAGGAATTGGGAATTTAATTACGGCTTTGACCTTGTCTGGATTTGGTTTGACGCCGTCTTCGGAAATAATATGCCCTAAATAACCGGCTTCGCGACGTAGAAATTCGCATTTGTCGGGTTGTAATTTAAGGTTGAATTCGCGCATTCTCTGGAAGATAGATTCTAGGTTTTTTATATGTATGTTAAGATCAGGAGAGTAGCAGACTACGTCGTCTAAATAAACGAAGCACCTGTCTCCTTGGAGTCCAGACAATACCGAGTTCATCAACCTTTGGAAGGTTGCTGGGACATTTTTTAATCCGAATGGCATTCTACAGAATTGGAAATGACCTTCAGGTACTGTGAAGGCTGTTTTGGGTTTATCTTCTTCCCTAAGTTGGAGTTGGTGAAATCCTGATGCTAGATCTAACGTGGAGAAGTATTTGCTACATCCGAGTTGGTCAAAGATTTCTGCAATCTGAGGAATAGGATACGTGTCGCCTATTGAGATATCATTCAACTTACGGTAATCGATAACGACACGCCATTTTTGAACGTTAGATGCATCTAGTTTCTTGGGTACCACCCAAATTGGTGAGGACCAAGGTGAATTTGAAGGTTCAATTATATTTTGTTTTAACATTTTGTCGATTTGATTACGAACTTCGACTTTATGGATCTCTGGAAAACGATACGTTTTAGTGTGAATTGGGACGTCAGTGGTCGTCCTTATCTCATGTCTTATGGCATTAGTATAAGTGAGGTTTTCATTAGGAAGATGGAATATATCTGAATAATTAGAACATAATTGAAGTAGAGCTTCTTTTTCTTCGCTATTTAAATGTGAAATGCGTAGTTGATTTAAGACTTCTTTAGTCCTTTGAATAGTACACTTAGTTGTACTTATATGATTAATAAATACCGTAGGATTATCGGGTTTATAAGTGTCTATGGGAATTAAGTTAAGATTAAAGTTCGATTTCAGGTTTATAGGTTCTTCGGAAATGTTTAAGACTGATACATTTATTCTTTTATTTTCCTTTACAGTGACTATGCAGTTAGCCACCAATAGGTTAGGGGAAATCTTTTGATCTAGAATTAATCCTTCTTTTAATTCAGGATTGGAGATAGAACATTCGACTATGGTTTCGGATCTTGGCGGAATTAAATAGACAGGTTCATTGAAGAATAGTTTGGTTGTAATTTTACCTATGTGAAGTAAGTCTTTAGTGTAATCTATCTTACAACCAAGGGCGTTAAGCATGTCGGAACCTATAATACCATCGTAGGGTAAATTGATGTTGTTTACAATGTGAAATTTATGAATTAATGTGGAATTTAGAATTTTTAATTTTAATTGAAAATGACCGATTGTATTAATCGCTTCGTCTGAGGAATCAATTCCTTTTATTTGAATAGACTCTTTAATGATTCGAGGCCGTTTTAGAATTGATATGTTTTTTAACAGGCTTATCGATGATCCCGAGTCTACTAAAAGGGATAATGGAATATCAGATATTGACGAGTCGATCAAGACATGGGGTAGGAGCGTTTTTGAAGGGTCACTGAGTATTTCATAGGATCTGGTAGGCTTTGACAGGTTAGTTATGCACTCCTGCGCGGATACAGAGGATTTAGAGGTCGGCAGGTCAGAGGTTTTACTCTGCTGCGCGGATACAGAGGATTTAGTAATTGGCAGGTCAGAGGTTTCACTCTGCTGCACGGATACAGAGGATTTAGAAGTCGGCAGGTCAGAGGTTTTACTCTGCTGCACGGATACAGAGGATTTAGTAATTGGCAGGTCAGAGGTTTCACTCTGCTGCACGGATACAGAGGATTTAGAAGTCGGCAGGTCAGAGGTTTTACTCTGCTGCACGGATACAGAGGATTTAGTAATTGAAATTGAGGGTGTCGATTTTTGAATTGAATGTCCCGTACGACACTGGGACGAGACGGTTACTCGTTTTTTGAATCTGAATCGTAATCGACAGTGTCGTAACCCTCGTTTGTGTCGGAGTTTGAGTTGTCCTGTTGAATAAGATGATGGACACGCTGAGGTGTCCTAGAATTTTGAGATTTGAGTTTATTATTATATTCCCTTTTTCTGCAGTTTTCTAGAGTGTGCCCTGAGTTTTTACAGTATCTGCAGAAGAGACTTGATTTAGAATTCGAAGAGGTAGGAGGATCGGATTTATGAGTTGAGACTTTGGTAAATTTTTCTTTATGAGGATTTGTTTTGAATAGGAATTGTTGAATTTTTTCTTCGGAAATAGCGATGTTAATAGCTTCGTTGAGCGACTTAGGAGATTTACATCTAACGATGTTGGAGATTCTAGGGGATAATCCCAATTGGAAGTGATGGAGGGCTAATTCCTCCATTGCCGCGGTTCTGCCATACATTTCCCTATTCTTGTGCCCATGGTTAATCGATATCTCTGTTAATAATTGTGAAAGGTAAGTTTCTATTCTAAGTGCATATTGGCTGACGGGTTCGTTGGTTAATTGTTTACATTCTTGTAAGTCTGTGAGTAAATGTGTATAGTGTTTTCTTTCGCTAAATTGTGTTTTAAGAAATTCTTTAAGTTGGGGCCAGGTCGAAAATTCTTTTATAGAACATGCTGTTTCTGCTTTTCCCTCTAATTGACACAAGATGAATTTAAATAAAATTTCCTTTTGGTTTTCTGACGCTAAATCGTAAGCATTATTGCAGTTTGATAAGAATGAATTTAATTTATTTCTAGAACCATCGAATGGTTTAATGAATTTAAGAAGAATTGATAACTCTAATTCGGGTTTATTTTGTAAAGTTGTAGGTTTCTTTTTTGATCTGGTGATAGGCCCAGAAGGAGGAAGAAGAGCGTTTTCGTCTTCTGTGTCAGTGATACAAACTTCGGGTTTGGTACCACCCGGGCTTAGTGTTCGGCTTTCCATGTCTTACGTTATATATTACTACAGGGATACACAATATAGTAAACACAGAACTTACAAAAATAAAATAGAAAAATAACAATTTAAAATAAATGTGACCAAAGACTTACAGAGTATTTAATAGCTTGAAGATAGATAATATAAACATCCCGTCGTGGTTGTTGCTGTAGCTGATTGTCGGCTCTCGATGTTGATGAGATGAGTTGATATCGATATAATATCGTTGTTGTAGATTTCAAGGGCACTTGAATACGGTTGAGTTGTTTGCAGATATATATTTATTATTTATATATTCCTTTTCTTAGGATTTAATTTTTCTGATACCTCCAGAGTTTGAGTATATAATACCTCTTCTTGCGTGTTTGAATGTTGAAGTGGTGTTTGCTTTTTATATCACTGGGCACTTGCACTTTTTCCACTTTCTTTTAAAACTTTTCACACGCGTAACTTTTTGAGACGAACCGAGGATTATTTAAAATCCCTTTGCGCTGCCACCAATTGTTATAACTGAACTTGAATTAGGCTTTTTAAAAAAACAAATTTTGATTTCGGAGCAACCGTCTTGAATTAGGAGTAGGAAACAACTAACTGGGTTTGAGCGGGATGTTTATTATATAGGAAGCAAAGTGTTTACGTAGTTGGAAAGAGGGAATGAAGTCAGCTTTAAGGCTAACAGAATAAAGGTGTAACAGATCGTTCGTGTAATGTAGATCTTCTAATACACGCTGGAGTGAAATAGCTGGGGCGGGAGACGTCTCATAAAGGTGGTGCGTCTGCGCTGTCGCCCTCCCAAAATGACCTAAGTCATTCGGCTCTGTGGATGTCATTCGGTGTTTGACACCAGTCACGTCTTCAAAGTCGCCTAAGCCGGCTAGATAAGCGGCTGCGCCTGAAGGGACACATATGTCATGGGAGTTAACAACATTGATCAGTTGCTCCTGTTCACGCGAAGAAACACCATTCGCCACGGCTTGCATTGATAAGCGATACCAATATAGCACGTGATGAAAGTGGTTATACACAGACTGTGGGATAGCTTTCACAAAGGCCTTGTCTACGTCAGAGATGGCCTTATACTCCTCTTCTAATAATGTCTCGAAGCCTGATGCGTCTGGACTGAACTCTTGGATCGGTCGCGCGTTGACCAAGCCTACTTCGCCGTCGAGAACTAGGCCCTCTTTCCATAAGATATCATTGGTAAGTTCCGATGCTTGTGTTGATAATTTCTTTGGCTGTGGAATACCTGGCATGATTCTTGGGACGGGGCGTTCAACCACTCTGGGTTGCTCGGCTGCTGGAGCGGGTGTTGGTAAGGACATCTTCGATCGGCATATTCAGATTCATGGGTAGTAGTCCTATAGTAGTGCTTGCTGCGTTCAACATTCCCATTAACATTCCAGGGCTAGATCTCAAATATCTACGGTCATCAGTTATATAGTCCTTTAATTTCTCATACCATTCTTTCGTTCTCTCATTCATTGAGGCCATATGTTCATCAATCCAGGACAGTCTAGTGTAATGAGTATTATTTTTAACTATAGGGCCAGGACCTATTTGGATCATTTTCCACGATTGGAACATGTGACCATACTTGCTAATTTGACAGAATAAAGCCCCATACTTGGAATGGACAAGATGAAGCATCTTTCTCCTTATAGATGGATCAAAAAAGTAATGATGCATTAGATAAAATATTGCTGGGGAAAGACACTCATTCCATTTAGTAGCATCTTCTGTTCCTTGAGATACATGAGTGGCGAGATCTGTGTCAAGTGATGTTATTTCCATATTAGAAGTAATTTTCGCCTTCTTCTCTTCTCCTCCTATTGAAATAGTTGACCCAGGTAAGTCTCTCGCCAGTTCCAGGTGAAAGGCCTCAATAACATGCAAAAAAGGCCTTAATAGCATAGTTGCTGAGGCGATCGCTCGTCTGTCTTTCTTCCCTCTTTCTTTGTGCTTTATGTAAGAAGCTGGTAAAAAACGAAGTGTAGCACATAGCCTTTCGTGAGCAGTTATGGCTTGCCTCATATTAGTATCTTGTTTTTTTATTATTGGCGTCACAAGTCCAAGTAATTTGAAATACGTCTGTTCGTCCATTCTTAAGAAGTTTCTCCAATCAGTAGGCTTTAGAGACAATTCAGACAATAAGTTGGTATGTGTAAAAGTATTTCTTTGTTTCAACCAATCCTTCATCCACCTTCTCTTAGGTTTTTTTGTCTTTTTAATAAAATACACACAACTGCTGCCACCAGTAAAAGTATTGTTATCCATAGTATTATTTATTTCCGTTCCGTACGATTGCAAAGTTCGAAGTGACGCCATGCATCCAAATGGAGATATTGTGAATGGTACCGTATCTCGATAAATTTCCATTTGGAGTGCATCCAAAAGGAAGTCTACTAAATGGACGTATCGACAGTGGTAGCCGTAAGATAGGTTTTATATCTTTATATGACTGGTGGTAAGATTAAGATTTCTTCTTTTAAAAAATAAGATTTTTTTTCATATTTTTGGCCTTTCTTTTTAATAATTCATACATACTACATATCTTATCAATAGACTAACAAAGACGTAAATGCCACTTCCGACAAATACTCATTGATTTTGTACCCGCAACAATCTTGGTTGTGGTACATCCGACATACACTGATCAGTTTCGCACGTGCAACAATGTCGAATCTGGTACTTCCGACAAATCTTCATTAGTTTTTCACCTTTAAGAAGGTAGCAACTGACTTTTCTCATACTTACTGTTGAAAGTCAAAAAAACGTATTCTACAAACATGTCGTGAGGAACTGCGATGACCCGCCCTCTTACGTCCTCACCCTTGAAATTCTCCAGCTGCACCTCCCCTGTCGGTAGTTAGTTACGCATCCACTTGTACACTACCGGATCAGCTGGGATGTGAGATGCGCCAGTAGCCGTCAACATGTTGTAACACCGCACTAGCGGTGCGACCTCCCTGAATGATCCAGTTCCTTTCTGCATGTGCTTCACTAGCGTGATGACACTGGCTGAGTCCTTCATGGTTGATCCTTAAACGAGTGCACCGAGCGCTCCTGTTGCGTTGGGATCGGTTATACGTTCTGCGATGTGGTTGTAGAGCGAACTGAAAGGCACTGCTTCGCCTTCTTCGGCCCACGTGTTCACCCCTACACTATACACTGGCACCGTGTCACTGTATGCGTTCCAGTTCTCGTTGTCTATGCCGGCCGCTCTTGCGACTCTTACAGGTGGGGCTCCTTGTGCTTCTGGGACTGGCAAAGCTGGGCCGGCGGCCTGACCATCGCCCGGCAAGGGACCTTCCAGAGCAGCCACAACAGCTTCGTTAGCCGCTTGAACAGCCTGGACTACCTCGGCAGGTGGTTCAGGGGCACGCATAGCCGCGATCCTCCTCTGATACCGGTCGTTGGCCTGTTGCTTCCGCGTCAAAAATCCTATCCCCCGGTAGAAGGTAAGGCTCCCTGCGGATTGTAACCTCCTCTGAGCGGCTGTGGCTGCTCCCAACTCTGCTTCGGTTGGCACGTCCCCGACTAGCTGATCCGCTTCGAGGTTCATACGAGCCGGCCCGTAGCCAAAATACAACTGCACCGACGCTAGTGACGACACAAACCCCTGCGCCCACGAGGTACACCCACCACGGCAGCCGGTCGCCGAGTATACGTCCTGCCCTCTTGGCGCACCTGATAGCCCGGTGCTCTTCGCCCCCACCTGAGGTAGAGGGTTCGCCATCCATGATGCCACCCCGAGCAACAACTTGTCCCGCAGAGCATCCGTCTTCGTCGTCATCTTCGGTTATGCTAAATAACTCAACGATAGTGTCTACGCTCCTAACAGGGCAATACTTAAAATTAGGAGTGTGAGCAAATCTATTGAGCTCCACGATGGCAGAGGATCCAGGGCAACACTTTAAAGATCCATGTCTACCACTACGCGGTAGTGATACGTCATGTGTGCTTACTGAATTACAATGAATACAAACAACAGGGGGCCTACCATGAACTTTCTTAAAACAATCCAGTTGAGATGCAGCGGAGTTTAGGTACCTAAAGTCAATAGCATTTTTTCGTACCATGACCGCCTATAAGCTGAAACGTATTAGCATCGCAAGACCGAATGGAAGAACGATAATTTTGTTTGTGGTTTCTGAGTACGTTTAGAAATTTAACTGTCAAACTTACTTCGACAGATGTTTCTATGAAAATAAATAAAATATAAAATTATTTTAAATGATTCATCAATCACAATAAGCTATTATGTCTTAATATATATATTTATTTTATATAAAACTATTCTTTTGATATATTTTAAACGGAAAGTTCTCTGGTGCTATGACAGTTGACACTTATTATTTTTAAACGTTTCTTTCAAATTTTGATAGGAGCTTTTACAAAATTTCGGTTTTATAAATATATTTACAAATTGTTTAACTTATAAAATAATGGTATGGGGTAAGTATTGTTCACAAATTTGTTTATTAAAAATAAATACCTATAACGAAGTGAATTACTGATATAAAACCCTTTGCAAAAGATATTACAAATCAACTTATTACTCTAAAATCATAAGTAACTATAATAAAAATTAATTCCTTCTAATTGTACAAACTCACGTTAACTAATTCATATAATATAAATAATTATACTTTCTTTACAGGAAAGCCCCTCTTCATCTCCCAATACGGCTGGTCACCGCGGGGGATAATGACTACAACCTTCCATCTCCACTACAAAACTTCGATGTATGCACTTACAATGCAAAATCTTTTCTATCAAATGAAAGATTATTATTATGACGAACCACCAAACTATTCCAATAAAGGTTAATAACAGTACATTACAATATGTTTAAAACTATGTTTACCTGGGTCAACAAGTATCTTTCTCAAAGACAAGACACGACGATTAGGTTAAAAGACGAGTCAACATAACCTGGAATAAATCCTGGAGCAATAAAGAAACCCTTAAATCAGAATTTTAAAACTTAAGAAAAAAATTATGGACTCATATTTAATATCTTGTCTTACATATGGCTTCCAGACATGGATTTACAATAACTACACCAAAAACAAAATACAAGTGTGCCAGAGAACGATGGAAAGGAGTCTACTAAACATACAAAGACAACATAGGAAGAGAAATACAGAAATAAGGAAAACAACAAAAATAATAGACGCTTTAGACAAAAATGTAATTGGGCGGGTCTTACTGCTCGCATGGACAAGGGAAAATGGACACCAAGGGTAACCTGGCGAGAACCAACAAAAAGATTAAGAGGTAGACCAAAGTAAAACTGGATTGAAGAAATAAAAAGAAAAGCTGGTGAAAACTGGACCACCAAAGCAAAAGACAGACAGATGTGGAGCAAGATGGAGGAGGCCGTAGAGGGGTCCATAACGATTCAATGATACTTTATAATGATTTATAAAAATGAATTTCGTTTTTGATTCTCATTAATTTATTTATCATTTCAAACTTATATACGTTGAAATTATTAATTATGATTGGAATATAATTTAAAGATTATAAATAATAATATTGTATTTTTTTAATGCATGCACATATTATGTAATAATTAACCATATGATATACTTGTTTAATATGTTATTCATTATGGAAATAAAGAGGCTATAATAATAATAATAATTTTCTTTACAGCTTAACCTGACAAAATCGCTAAATTGAGACTATATGAATAAATGTTTATAACCAATTGAACATTGCCTGAAGACATCTTTTTCTATCTTGATGGAGTCATCCTAACTAAATAAATACTGTTATTATAATATTTTTAAATGGCTTATTATTTACACATTATAAATTTAAAAATACCTATGGTTTTTTAAACAACAAAAAGCAGAGGAGAATAATACAATTCATGAACATAGTGAGGAAAAATTTAATTATAATAAATATCTGCTAGTAATATGGTATTCTTATTTATTGTAAAATATGATATTATATTGGGGGATTATGTTTTTGTTAGACATGCATAAATAATTAATTGAATATTATTGAACAATGTGCAATTATTTGTAGGTACACTGAAATCTTCAAAGAATCAAAGTCAATAGTCTATAGTAAATTATAAACTCAATATCTACGAAGTCGGTAATAGGAAAGGCATTGCCGTCTTGTTTCTCATCTCCGTCTATATTTTAATAATTTATTTATAATCAATCACACTCTAAACTCAAAATACCCCAAAATATCGTAAATATAAAAATTTTATATTTTTTCCTTTATTAGACATAGTAGATAAATCTTATTATTTTAACTTTATTAACAAGTTTTAATACAAATATTAAATTTTATAGGTTCTAAACTAATATTTGGACATTTCGATACAAAAAAGTTGAACAAAAAGTAACTTTTTTAGAATCGCTTATTCTGTCATAGTTGGAAGGCGCGACTGTCAAATTTCGGTTCAGCCGAGCGGTCATGGTACGGATTTTCATACAAATTGAACGAACGAAATCTGATAACCGCTAAGGTCACGTGGGAACATAAACTGTCTCGTTTTTTCGATGTCATGGTACGAATTAGCGATGCATCTCAGTTGTAGGTTGTCAATAGGCTCGCAATAAGAGTTCATGGTAGGCCCCCAGGGCAATACTTTGAATTGTTCGTAATCAAGCGTTCGAAGCTGGCAAATTTATTAGAAATGTTATAATATAGTATAAATTGAATAATTACAATGATTGAATGAATGACTGTGTGGATTCTCATAAAAGGTATATAGCGCGGGTGTCCCACTAGCGTAGGGACCAACAGGTAACAGTGGTTTGCTTCTCAAGCTTCCTCTCTGTTCCCACTCTGCTACCCCTAAATCTTTTGTTTTCTTTAAATATCTTAACACTCTCTTTGCATACTGCCAAGTAGTGTTAAGATGTTCTTCAGTATTACAATTATTAAATTGGCTTAAATAAGACACCGCATATGCTATGTCGGGTCGTGTAAGAACAACTAAATACATTAAGGTCCCGACAAGCTGCTGATAAGGATTTTGGCTACTACCAGTAGTCTCCTTTTTACATTTTAAATTGACCTCCATAGGAGTATTTACTGGCTTACAATCAGTCATACAAAATTTAGACAATAATGTAACTATATATTTCTTCTGATTTAATGTAACAGTGCCTTTTTCCTTATTAAAACTTACAGACATACCTAAACATTCCTTAATAATACCTAAGTCTTTTAACTGGAAATTTTTACTTAACATGGTTTTAAGGTGTTTATTTTCAGTTCTATTGTTAGTAAAAACAAACATGTCATCGACAAAGTCAAATCGCGACGGTATTTAAAGGTTTTTTTAAAAAGTAAACTTTATTAAAGAATATTACACTTGGTATTCTTAACTAATAGTCGATGTTAGACTCTAATTCTAAGGTGGTCGATGTTAGACCCTAATTCTAAGGTGGTCGATGCAAGACCCTATTACTACGGTGGTCGATATTAGACTGGCTTTAATATAATTCTATTCTTACTGCTAAAAACCCTTACATGATAACTAAGCATTCGTGGTACATGATAGAATAATAAAACTAAGCATTCATTGTAGTGATTGCATTAACGCTTATGGTGCGTTCTGGGTATATGTGTGACATTGTAACTTTTCCCTCCTTAAGCTGGAAATCATCTGAAGAACAATTTTTCGGAGGATGGTTTCGGCCTTGAAATATTATACATGTTTTTATCTTTTTATATGCCAGAAAGGATATAAGACTTAAAATTAAAATTACATATAGAATTATTGTCCCTAAACTGACACTATTGGTTTTCACTACACTATAACTTTGATTTTCACTGTTTTGTAGGGCGTATGATAATACTTTTAAATTGGTTAAATCAACCCCATTAAGCTTAACAGGATTAATGTTGCTCTGGATACTGATCTTCAAATTTTCAGGTAAATTTACTAGCGGCAGCTTTTGAGATATAAGCTTCTCACCGTTACTGCTATGTATTCTTAAATTGTTATTTGCAATTTTATATTGGCATTTATCTTCTATGGTTAATAAGTAAGTATTTATGAGAGTGTAATGTAAAATTTCATTATCACAGGTTCTAACCAGATCAACAGGTGATTTAGAGTAGATTATCCATCGGTTAATCTGTAAAAGTTCTACTTTAATTTCTTCGAATTCTATTTGAATTTGTTTGCAAGAGACGTTGTGAGAATATTTCATCAGGTCCAGGATACAAGTGTCTTCAACAGGTACCATGGTCTGCAGCTCATCGCAAAGGTATATTTCTTCTTCTATATTCTTACATGGTGTCGACAGCGATTTCGCTTTCAACCCCTTCACAATAAGGTAAGGATACCCTACTTGGGTAATATTATTAAGGTAAGGTTTGTTTCAGGTTGGGTGATAGGTAAGGGTACAATTCTATAATAAAAATAAGTTTCTTTCTTAACTAAGGGTATTTCTAATACTAAAGTAATAACATTGTTCTTAAAATACGATTTCAATGTCATGGACTGTTCAATTCTTACAATATTTTCAGGAATTACTTTAAATATCAGCTTATCTGTTTTCTCTATCATTCTAAGTACATTAATGAGTTCATTAGTATTAATTATAGATTGATGTAATACGCCCATTCTACTGAAAGCTAAAATGTTTTCAATCTCGGTCAATTTTGTATAAATTATTTGAAAATTATGTATGAAAGAATTATAGATTTGTGTTATTTGGTTAACATGTGAAATAATTGAAATATCTTTAATATTTTTATTAATTTTATTAATTGCATCACTTAATTGTTCGAGATTGTTTGTAATAT